CTAGTTTGAAAGTTGTACAGGGTGAGGCATATATATGGCAACACCCCCAGACCATACTAATTTGCCTGCTATCGGAAAACTAATTATTTTTTCGGGGGATTGGATGTTACCCATAAAAGAACTAGCGTTTCTTTCTGGAGGAGACAAATGAAAACGGTTGCAAAATTTTGAATTTTTGATTTATAGCAGCGGGAAGTTTAGCGATTTTGTCGAAAAAGCTGTGTGTTGGCACGCTGCTCCTAGAACCCCGGATATTGGTAGCCCTGCTCCATGGTTTTGTATTTAAGTTTAGTTTGATCGTATTTATTTTTACCAAGATTCTTTTAGTCGGGAACTGGCGGGGGAATTTTGCTATATTCAAAAAACGCGCGCTGACCCACCCCTCACAACCCTTACGTTGACCACTAAAAATTAATTATAAAACCCTGGCCAATTGTATTGCTTTATCTAAGCAATCGTTTACATTGTAAGCATCGGATTGAACCAATTGCAGATGTTGAAACCAAGCAATTCAACGATTAAAGATAAAAAAAAGCCAATTTTGCTTTTTTTTTACTATGATTTTTGGGGCTAGCCGAGAACAATTCTAAAATTTCTGCCTACTTAAAGGAAATGAATTGTTTTAATTCCCTTGATTTGTCATTACTAGGCGGTACACATGTTTTTTGGGGCCATTCGCGGCCAAAACGACGTTTCTGAACCATGCTGAAATTGGCTTCCAAGGGGTTCCGTGCCAGCGCCACCCTTACGACGCACAGTTTTTGCATTAGAACAAAAGTTTGTAGGGTTGCTGCATTCTAATATTTTAAGAGTGGTTAAAGGACAATGGTGGCTATATTTCGGCAAATTATTGAAGTCTAGCCAGCTTTCTTCATTTTTTGAGAGGCCCGGGAAAGTGTTGCCATATATATGCCTCACCCTGTAATATCGGCAGGGATTACGTCACTATAAAGAATTAGTGATAAAATTTTTTTTTGCTTTACTGGCTTAATGATCTTGTCAAAATTACTGTAAAAGATAAATAGATTCCGATTTTTTGTTGCTGATGAACGAGATTTGTGGCTTATGTATTTTTTCAGTTTCAGTTCGCTCACCCTCTTCTCTTCACACTTGTTCACTCTTCACTCTTCACACTTCACACACTAACGCGCATTTCAGTGTGTCACACGTCACCGCTGTAAAAAGATTTTTTCAGTGGCGATTATTTAGGGAAACCTGGCGGGACAGATTGACAGCGGGGACCGGTGGTGGTTTGGACACAGTAGGTCCCGGGGGTGCACAGGACATTGGCGCAGGTCAGAGGAGCACGTGTCGTGGTGGTGGCCATGTCTGAAAATTTTCTGATACCTATTTCCTAATCGTCATATCTCTTTCTCATCCCTCTAACTCTCTTGCTCTCGCTCTTACTCGCTCTCCGCCGCTCTCACCCCCTCTCTGTCTCTCACACTGTTTCTCGCTCGCCGTCTTTCTCTCTCGCTCTTCCGTCTCACCGACGACTTCCTCTCCCCCCCTTCACTCTCTCTCTCTCTCTATCTCGCTCTCTTTCTCTCTTTCTCTCTTTCATCTCTCTCTCTCTCTCTCTCTCTCTCTCTCTCTCTCCTCCCTGGCTAACGATTCAGTTGAACCTACAGCACTGATTCCACTGGACACATAGTCCGCTCGGGCTACGGTAATATCCCGGATTACACTGGCACTTTGCCGGAGCACAGGCACGATTGCAGACCTGAAATTTGCAAGTTGAGGTAGCAAGAGCTTGATCTAGATGCTGAGCGCTAGAAGGCGGGAGCAAGGAGCTAACGGAACGACAGATGCGCCCATGCCTGCGCCAAAAATGGATGGGAGCTAGCCAGCACTTGAGGCGCAAAAGCTGGAGCTTGACTTTTAGCAGCTGCCAGGAGCTGGGAACTCGAAGCAGGTTTCGCCAGGCTAGAGGCAAGCAGAATCGGAATCGGGAGAATTTTAACATAAGGGGTTAGGAGCATTACCTGGGAGCTAGCGCGAGCGAGCTAGGCTCTGGAAGCTGGGAAATCAATACGTGCAGCCATGTCCAAGCCAGAAGCGAGAATTTTGCCCCCCTCCCCAATTACCTCTTTAAGACGAAATTAAGTATTTTATACCGGATTTGGATTTGTGCATGTCGGCTCACAGTAGCTGCTGCATGTCTGCCAGGTCGAGAATCCCGGGCAAGTCGGGGCTGAAAATTGGGGATTCATGGATTTCCGCACAATTCTTCGCTCACGGCAATCCCGCTCGAGGATACAGTTGCCGGCCGTGTTACGGGAGTATCCGGCATTGCACATGCACTTTCCGGGGCCGCAGATAGCCGGACAAATCTTAGGAAAAAAAACACAGCATTTTTCCAATTGTGGCGGATTTACCGGGTTCCGCTGGGCACAAGTACGTTCACAGCTTGAGCCACAGGAGTTATAGGACGAGTTTGTCGGGCAGACGGGAGCTGTGGGTACGCTCGTTTAGTCAAGTTATAAGGTTGTAGCATACGACATTGGGAAAGCGGGACGCAGCCGCCAACGACATTACGGTAGTATCCACTGTTGCACTGGCAACGTTGGGCTCCACATTCCGGGGTGCAGATCGGAAATTCGAGGTGGGAAGGGTTTGCTTTGTTTTAAAGGGATTGTGAAGGTACAAATTGTGGATCTACAACTTTTTGCAGATGCGTCTCATATCGATAGATATCGTTTTCCTGGATTTTGTAACTTGCTTTAAGTTGATTGCAGCATCGAAAAATTGCCAAATTTTGCCTGCATAATGCCCTTAAAACTACGATAATAACTGAAACTTGAGCTAAGGGCTCTATCAAAGACGTACCGGTCGCTGGTTGGCGCAAGTTGGCTCGCAGTTTGAAGCACAGGTTTTCCAGGCGGAGTTGGTAATGCAACGAGGTGTCGTGGTGATCGGACGAAATGTCGGAAACGGAAACGGAAATGGCCCCAGAGCCGGAACTAAAAAAAAATCAAAATCCTAGCATCTTCTGTCTTATCTCTTCTTCAATCACGTATTATTGAGAAAACCGCTACCACCTACCCATGGGAGACGTTTCAGCTTTCGCCGCAACGTCGTCCGCACGAACGGAAACGAGAAGAGCCAAACACTTTACAAAAGTTAGGGATCGTCCATTGAGGAAATGCTTACCAAAATCCACATTGTTGGCTCAGCCAGTGAATTTCGCTTCAATACTACCAGGGCCGTAACAAACCCAAATTTCGGGGGCGACCCCAAAAATTTTTTACTAATATGACTAAAACTACAGCGCCGCAGGCAAAATTTTTCAAAACATGGGGTTTATAACACTAAAACTAGTGTTAAAAATAGCCAAAAACAGCGCCGCAGGCAAAAATCTCTTTGCAAAAAATCACTCTTTCTAGCGGGTTAGAGAAGCACCCGGTTTTATATGATTTAGGTAGTCTAATACACTCACCAGAATGTGTGCTTCACAGAATTGGAATCAAAAGTTATCGAGTAAACAAGAGGGAAACAGAGAAAGAGAGCGAGAGAGAGAGAGTGAGAGAGAGAGTGAGAGAGAGAGTGAGAGAGAGATACACTGTACCCGGGCGTTGACCAGAAATGCCAAATTTTGGTCCAATTCGGTCGGCGACCCGTGGTTTTTCGCGAAAATAGAGAAAATTTGACTGCATAATTCATGGAAGTAGTGTTGCAGAAATGCGTATATAAAAGGTTGGGAATTTTTGATGGTAGTATTCAGGCCCGTAAGAGGGGGGCGAGGGGGAGCCGCCCCCCGAAATCGGCCGAAGGCCGAAAAGTTCATAAGGGGGGACCCTTATGATTTCATTTTTCCAAGATCTTTCCTTGGACTA